ACAACATTTAACACTTTGTTTTCCTTCAAGCATATATTTAAAAGAATAATAAAACATATCATATTGCCCAAATTCCTTTATCCTTTTGGGGAAAAGGGGTGGATAAATTTAAAACAACACTGGCTGTTTTCTTTTACATACCAGCATCCTGAGAGATTTTTGATAATAGAAGGCTTTGAATTCCTGCATTTTCTGAGAGTTTGGAATAATGTAAGGCATTGTGTCCCAGAGAATCGACAAGGTTCAGGTCTGCACCCTTCTTAATTAAGGCTTCCACAATGTGAGAGCTGCCAGTCTCACAAGCCAGCATGAGAGCAGTCCTAGAGTAGAAAGACCCGAGTTTAATAACAGCCAAGGGCGGGAAGGCTTTCCCGAGATGCATTTGGTCTTGAAAACAAGGAGAGGGGGATTGAGTGCAAAACTGTCAAGATGACTTAAGGTAGTATTTTCAAAACTTTGGACTAAATCAAAATGTTAAACCCTACCTATCCAAATAGCATAGACAGACTTCCATACCTGGTCTACAATGACAGAATTTCCTGTGATTGGCACGAATACCAAGCTTATTTTAGAGGCTGGATTTTTTCACCTCTAGTATTTTAAAGAACACACATTATTAAAATTACTATTACTTTATTGTTGATGTTGTTGTTTTAAGATAGGGTTTCTCAATATAGCCCTGGTTGTTCAGAAATTTGCTCTGTAGACCAGAATGGCCTTGAACTCAGAGATTCTTCTGCCTCTGCCTCCTGAATGCTAAGATTAAAGGAATGTGCCATCACACCCAGGCTTTAAAATTATTGCTATTACTTTTTTTTTTTGGAGACAGGGTTTCCCTATGTAGCCCTGGCTGTCCTGGAACTCACTATGTAGTCCAGGCTGGCTTCAAACTCAGAGATTGGCCTGCCTCTGCCTCCCGAGTTGCTGGGATTAAAGGCATGCTTCACCATCGCCCAGGTTAAAATTATTTTTAAATACATTCAATATATTTACTTTTGTCTTGTTTAGAATGAAAAAAAAATCACAAGAAATGTCTTATGCAGTTCAATATTTAATAATTTCATTGCAGATTCAACTAGCAATTCTGCCCATGGAGGATGGGAGGATTTTTTTTCTTTTTCTTTTTAGTCAAAACAGATTCTCAGTTATCAGGAAGGTAGAAAGTTAAAAAAGAAAACCACTTTGTAACATTAAAAAAAAATGGGTATCACTGAAGTTATGACTTTGGCCCTAACGTGCGGTACCTTCCATTTTTGTCCCTGGAATTGACATCTGCTCCATGATCCAAGAGAAACTGGCAGACCTCACTGTGGCCATTTTGGACTGCAAGAAGCAGGGGTATATTCCCATCCTAGGAGAAAAACTCAGATTGTAACTCCAGTTCCCAACACCAGGTTCGTAACACCTCTCCCTTTCCACATCTTTCTCCTGACGTGTACTGCTGGGCTACACTTCCATCTGCTGGGATATTCTATGCCCCCCTTAGGGCCACCCTTACACTTAATCACACATCTTATGCAATTTCACCAACTTCAGCTTTTCTCTAGCAGTCCAGCTATTGGGGTTGCTTGCTCCATCACCTATCACCAGCTCTGCCTGGTAATGTAAGAGGAGTGTACACACTACGTGTGTTCAGATGAAAGTATGGGGGGGCGGGGCTAGAGAAATGGCTCAGCAGTTAAGGGCAAGGGCTGCTCTTGCTGAAGCCCTGAGTGTGATTCCCCCACACCCACGTGTAGGAAAGAGAGACTGACTTGCTCAATATGTCCTCTAACTTCATGCATGCTGCACCCCCAGTTATAATAAATATAAAAAAAATTAAATGTAATCATTAAAAAATAAAATTATCGGGGCTGGAGAGATGGTTGAGGTTAAGAGCACTTGCTGCTCTTTCAGAGCAACCAGAGTCAATTGTAGCAGCTCACAATCCAGTTTCTGGGACTTGATGCCCTCTGACCTCTGCAGGCACCAGGCACACATGTGTGTGGTGCACATACATATATTCAGGCCAAAATAAACCAATGGCAGTATTCCCCATTTTAGAATATGGGGATTTGGGACCAGTTGCATAATAAAGTACCCGGGGGACTAGGACCCAAGGCTACATTTGAAGTTCATTTGTGTAATATATTATATATATATATATATATATATATATATATATATATATGACCTTGTAGTTTATACATTTTCAGTTTATACATTTATACATTTCAGCCATAATACAAGTTTCAGGCTGTGGAATATGTGGACCTGGGGACTTTTGGAATAGAGATGTTTAGCCTATGTTGAGGTTCAGAAAGTGTAAATGTATTTGCTTTCTCAGGGGCAAGTACATGCAGGTCAATTTTCAGGCTATAGCATGTCATTAAACTCTAGAACCACATGCCATAGATATAAAGGTATTCTTGTAAGAGGCCAGTGAAATTTAAAAAGACTAACAGTTCTCTTCAGAGTTGGGAAATTCTACTAGGACTCATCCAAGGTGATACCGTGAAAGAAAACAGAATTTCTAACTGGATACCTCTGACAGTTTACACTGATCGTCAACTTGAGACGATGTAGACTCACTCTGATGACAAATCTATGGACCTCTGTGGGAGGGACTTTCTAAATTAGGTTATTTGTGGTAGGAAGACCCACCACAACAGCCAGAATGGCATAGAAAGAAGAAAGCAAGTTAAGAAACAGCATTAGTCTCCCTTCGCTTCACGACTCTGGATGCAGTGGACTGGCTCCCTCAAGTTCCCACTGTCGCGACCTCCCTGACACAATGGTCTGCACCTTCACCGTGAGAGCCAAAACGAAACCGTCCTTTCTTAGCTGCTGTGGCCTCGTACTTTGTCACAGCAGCAAGACAAGTAACATACAAAACTTCCTATTTTTATACACCAAGACACGAAGTTTTATTTATATTTGAGTTAATGGTGGAACACAAATATATACCTAGGATTGACATATAAGACCGTTTTGCAAAAAAAAAAAAAAAAAAATTCTGGTTGTAAAGAAACAGAATTGTGCCAAACACTAAGGTCTTTAAAGTTTTGCTAGAAATCTGCACCCCACTTCCCTCAGTGTCCATCCGCCCGGTACATACCGAGTCCTTAAGGTTTATGGGGCTCTTCTGTTCACAGAGGACCTGCACAGCTTGAAGGCATCCCTGTGCCGCTGAGGAAGAGAAACACAACCAGTCACCAACAACCCAGATTACCACTTCCCGGAAGGAAGAGTTCACTTCCTGCCCGGCAGGTGACCAGCACAGAAGAGAAAGGCTATGTAACAGGTGTGTGAGAACGCTGCTTGATTTCAGCTAACGCCGAAGCTACAGCCACGGACTCCCAGCTCCCTGCAGGCAAGCATTTGCTTAGGCTTCTCACAGGACTTGGCTTTTCTACAACTAGAAATAAAATTAATTCTATATTTAGTCACCCCCGTGAATTCAGTATCAGCATCTGTCACTTGAAGCTGTGACAGACAGCGAAACCAGAGGTGGACAAATACAACTGACGTTCATCGTGATCCCCAAATTAAAAAAAAAAAAAAATCAGTATCTTCTAGTCCTAAAATCCACAGCTGCCCATCACTCTCTACTTTAAAAAGGAACTTTAAGTTGATTTAAAGAGTCTACATACATGTGCACACATACATATGCGTGTTAGTACTAGAGCTTAAAACCAGAGCCTTGCACATGCTAAGCCCGCCCCTTCGTCACTGAGCTTCCTCTCAGCCTGAGCTGAATCTATTAACCACAGACACCGGTCGCATGGCAGGGACCTAACTGTAGGTACACTCCTTAGGAAATCTGTGTGACTTACAGAGTAAAATGGGACGCCCGCCTGGGAACTCTGGAAACCAGCCCCAGTGAGGTGAGTGAACGAAACAGTTTCTTAGAGTAAAAACGGACCAATGAGAGAATGAACATTACCTGCATAATGTAAAGCTATTTTCCCAGAGCTGTCGGTACTTTCCGCTGGGCTTTTGTACTGCGAGACAAAAACATGTGTCTTAAAGTTAACTTCACAACTACCATCGAGTCCATCCTTCTCCTTCGCACACCACTTCTTCAGAAGGGCACACGCGTGCGTAAATCCTACCCTCTGAGCTCCGTGGGCCTACCGTCCTTTATGAGGAAAAAGATACATTCCCAAATAATCATGACACCAGCTACGGTCACCCCTTTGCCGATCTGGTCATTCAGTCTTCCCTTACAGCATTTCTCCAGGCCCACCAGCTAGCACACATGCTCTAAGATCTCCCATGTGGATCCTTTATTTTCCCATGTTGTCTCTCATGCTCTGTCTCCCTTCCTAGAACCAGCTTTCCCCGAGTCACCTACACAGTCTTCACTTTCCTTGCCTCGCATTCACTCAGGTATCTGCCCTCATGATTCCATAACGATGGCCCAAGCCAAGGTCATCTGCAATCTTTTAGTTTCTACACATTTGCCCTCTGACCCCCCTCTGAGCAGCAGTCTACACTCCTTCCTCATCTTCCTCCTTGAGGCTCTCTGTCTGGCTCAGCCTCTTGCAGCTCCCCACCACTACCTTGGCCAGCCCTCCTCCTCCTCCTCCTCCTACAAAATACATAACCTCACATTCGTCATTGCTTTCTCCGAAGCTCTCTTCTTGGTAATCCCATCTACACCTCCGTCCAGATGTTAGGGACTCCAAACAACAGATGTAGATCCCGACAGCAGCAGCGAGCAAGTATTACGTAAGTTAACGTGTGCCAGGCTCTGAATCAAGACTTGCTTTCAGTCTGCTAGCAACCCAAGTTGGATGACCATACCTGCAGCCACTTTGAGTGGAAACCGAGGTATAAATAAGTTAATAAATGGCTTGAACTAGGGCAGTGGTGAAGCCAGGATCTGAGCCTGTTGGAGCCTGGATACTTATCCTATACAAGTGTCACCTGTGAGTGCCCAGGCTCGGGAACCCAGTGCACTTGCTTGACATCCCTGGTTTGATATCTCCTAAGTACCCGGAAGGCAAGTTTCCCACTCCTCCATCCCTATCTTGTTCCTCCCCGAGTTTTTATCATCTCTATGAACACCAACCGCCATGGTCAGTTTATCCAATGAGATAGACACTGAATTAGCTTTGATTTCTCCTCCTCCTCCTCTTCCTTCACCAGTATCTCACCCACCACATCCTGTAGCTCCCGTCTCCAAATCCTATGAGAGGTGTCTTCTTTTCTTTCTCATGACCTTCATCCTAGCCCTGGGCAGCAGCATCTTATTACATGCATGGCTAGTCTAGCCTCCACTGGGTCTCCTCAATTGTTCTGTCCCCTCGAAACCCCTTCTCTATACAAAAGATCACCCTATAAAACTGTGTATGCCACTGTCTGCCCTTCACAATGCCACAGCAAACCGAGGATTCCTTAGCTTGCACATCTCAACATACAAGGCCCTGCATTTTGTGCCCCATTCTCTCAAGTCTTTGCCTCTGAGTCACTCACTGGCTTTTTTCGACCCTGACCAGCACCTGGCTGTTCTATTTGGAATGTGTTCTGCTGGGTTTTTTTATTTTTTTATTTTTTTTGCCCACTGGAGATCTCAACTTAAACATCACCTTCTCTTGAGGGCCTCACTAGAAACCACTTTCTTTCTTAGTACTCCGCAATCTGTAGCACATGTTCCTTTCCTTATTAACCAGACTGTGAACTCCACGAAGACAGCAGCCGCCCTGCTGGCTGGTAGATACTTACTGCTTAGCACCAAACCTAGTACCCCAAGAATACTTGATATTAGGGAGGACGGGAGGACTTGCCCAGGGAAGGAAGAGAAGTCATTTGAATTTGTAGGACCCCACAAAGCTCTACTTGTGCTAACTGCCTTAAGGAGCCAAGAGTTGAAAACGGTAACGACCAGAGAACAGAACTATCTTCAGCAAACAGGCATGGCTTAGAGAGACCAATGCGCAGGGTACAGAGCAAGGTCTCAGAAAACACTAAATGCAGAGGTACTGGGATGAGGAGAGCATGAGACAAACGGGTCTCATTTGTACACAGTCTGATTCTCAAAGGGGCGAACAACTGGCCAGAGAAGTCTGTCATGTAAGTCCATGGAAGGCTGGATTCTTAACAGTAATCTAGAAAGAACAAGGTTCAGATGAAGTGCAGGCCAGGGGAGGTAAGAACAGGCTACCTTCAAGTGAAATGCTTCCTCTGCTGTGGTCAGAAGAATGGAGATCAAGTTACTACTTACCAAGGCATTGGCCTAATTTTAGAACAGCACAAGGAACCGTTTAAAGCCTTCAAAGATTTCAGAGAAAAACCAAAGCATTTGCATAACCAGATATAAAATTACATTAGAGGCTAGAATATCTGGTCCTAGCCCACAAGGACTCTGAGCCTGTCAGGTTAAATCTTCCTTAAAATCAGAGCCAGATGCACGGGCTAGAGTGGAATGGGAATTTAAAACATATTTTCAAAAAGTATAGTAGGACCCAGGGTGGAGATGCAGGGCACTCTGGCCAAGTGAGTCATTTCTTCCCCACTTTATCCTGAGGACCTGGTCTTGCAGAAGGCAAGTAAGAAAAACTCCATGTTAACAAGTCAAAGCAACTCTCCCAAGTCAACATCACAAACACAGATCTAGTTTTCCTGATTGTTTTTTTTTTTTTCTGCTTCAAAGACCTGTTTAGGTGAAACATTCCCGGAATGGGCAGTAGCGGGCACCACACAGGGCAAGACAAGGAGCTGTGTGGTCAATGTAGCAAGTTGATGAATGCGACCAACAGTGTGGCCTGAGAAATTCAAATGAAAGCAAGACGACGCTGGGTCTCCAAGAGTGCTTGTGAAGGCTGGGACAGCAGCTTGACAGCACAGACAGTACTCTAAACACTTATTTTATTGCTCCATGCTGTTCCTGAGAAGAGCCAGCTTGCATTTTGACGGGTAACAGCTGGACGTGACTGTAGTGCTGCTATTGGGGGGGGGGGACGGTTCATGAAATACGTATCTTTACAAATTTACGGAGGTCATCACCTTAGGGGGTCATTATAAACTTCCTGGCTAAGTCAGCCAACCAGGGAATTGGCTAAAAAATTATAAATAAGAATAAAACCGAGCACTTAAGCAAGAACCAAGAATTAACGAAAAGCTCATCAAGTTATGGACCGAGGGATAATGGCCGAAACTGTTAATCCAGAGGCACTGTACCTCCACGAGCAATTTATAGAGCGAACACCAGGACACCACAGAGCCAGTGAGCCAAGGGTTACTACAGTTTGGAAAGTTTAGTGAAACGCTTGCTTTCGGAAAAGAGGAACTGACTAAAGGGGCGGATAATCTGATCCCAGGGAGACAATCCAAAGTTTGGTGAGGATCCACTTCTCTTCTAGTAGAGTTGCCATGGAAACATGGAAATAGTCTTATTATTGGCTGTTCTGTACAAATGGGCTGTAGGACAGTATTAACAGGGGTATGTACTGAGAAGGGGTATTTCTCCCTTTATGAATAAGGTTACCTTTAAATTCATAATGAATAAATATAAACAAAGTGACACCTCTGGGAGTCCCCTGCTTACCTGAAGGAGCTTCCTGATGTACTCTGGGTGGCCATTCTTGGCTGCAATATGTAAAGCACTGTGTCCTAAATGGATTAAAAGGGAAAAACCGGGGAAAGTGGCCACGTTAAAATAAAATTAAAAAAAAAAAAAGTTTTCTTATATGTTATCATACAAATTAACTGGTTTCCTTATAGCATTTTCATGCATATTAATTTTGGTTGATTGCCCCAGGCCTGCTCTTCTCCCCATCTCTCTGCACCTCTCTGTTCTTATGCCCTCACCCCTGTTCTTCCCCTTTCTACTTTCATGTCACGTGTTCTAGTATGATCCTGCCAGCCCCCTTCCTTAAAGCTGATTTTTCTCCCCTTTCTCAAGATCCTCTCTCTAGTTCCAGGACCATAATTATTACCCTTAGAAGCTAGGACGTGCATAGGAGAAAGCATGTGGTGTTTGTCTTTTTGAACCCGAGTTACCTCCATACAGTATCTTCCAATTCTATTCATTCTCCTGCAAACTTCATAGTTTCATTTTTTTTTAATAGATGGATCAAATTCCATTGTGTATATGCAGAACAGTTTTGTTATCCATCCCTCTGTTGATGGATGATTCAACTGCCTTGCTATTGTGCTTAGAGAAACCATAGGCAGGTATGTGCAAGTTTCTCTGTGGAAAGTCTTTGGGTATATGCTCAGAGATGGTACAGTAGGTGACGCTGTAGTTGTTTTTTTTTTTTTTTTCTTGTTTGGAAATCTCCACACTGATTTCTATAGTAGCCACACAAGTTTACGCTCCCACTAGCAGCCAATGAGTTCCTTTCCCCTCAGCTTTTCTTGTCCTTTATAATTCAAAGTGGATCAAAGACCTTCATTTAAAACATGATCAGCTGACGCTGTTTGAGTGGCGGACAGGGATAAACACAAAGCTAAAAGTATGGACAAGAACTTTCTGAATAGCACACACTTCCTACATAGTTTCTAATTGCTGTGCCAAAGGCAGCTAGGAGGAACAGTCTCCAACAAAGCAGGGACTGTTCCTTTAGAGATTACGGCCCCACCTTCTTTAGTGTGACCACGGAGCATCCCACCCACAGACAACACTCAGAGGCCCCAACCACACTGTCCCCTGCAGGTTCCGTTCAACTCTGGACAGGACCGCGTAAGTGCCGTATTTAGCTGATGTGTATGCAAAATGCCCATGTCCACAACTGTCACATCAGAGTAGAATACCTCAGGCCTAGAAACCCAGAAAAGACAGCCCACAAGCCAGCAGACAATATTCCAGAAACCCAACTACGTACATCTTACGTTTGACTTCCCATTTCTCTCTCCTCAAAATAGGCTCAACCCTCAACGAATGTTACCCTGGGTTTCCAGACTTTTACAAGACCTTGCTTAGTTTACATGTGAAAGGAGCATTGAAGTCCCCTTCAGAAATGCAGCAGGCAGGTAACTTCAAGACATCCTCCGGTGCTACCCAACTGCCCAGTGCCAAGTGAACCTTCACACCAGGGCCTCTACAGCTGCTGTATGTTTAACCTGCATTCTTTTCCCCTCAAACAGCCACACAGTTTGTTCTCTCACCTTCAGATTCAACTTAAAGGCTGCCCTTTAGATGGGGTCTTTCCTGGGCTAGGGATGTAGCCCAGTTTAGCAGAGTGCTTGCCTAAGCGTCCGTGATGCCCCAGGTTTAACACCCAGCGCAGCACAAATGTGGTATTGTGATGGGCTGTGATAACAGCACTCAGATCAGGCGTTCAAGGACATACTTGGCTATATGGCTGGTGGCTGCCTTAGGACACATGAGACCCTGTCACAAAACAGAGGTCTTTTTCTGTCCTACCCATTACATGTTCCATTTCTTCCCTAACTCCTTTTACTCTGGGTTTCTGCTTCCTTCTTCATAATACCTCACATCTTGCAATACTCTGTTCTCAGCTGTAGAGTCAAGATCTATACTGCTGACCACACACACACACACACACACACACGCACACACACACACACACCCCTGTTGGTTAGCTGGTCCCCTGCCTGTGCACAGTTGTTTCACTCCCTATTGAGTTCCTAGCTCCCACAATACCGCTGGTGAACAGCTGGTTCTCAGCATAGTCCAGTCATCTTGAATTAAAGAGGATGCTAATTTCAATGTCTGTAATGAGCGGCTGGTTGCAACTGCCAGCCAACTCAATGTACCCAAGAAAGCCTTAAATCTTGTCTTTCCCGATTTGTGTGACCAATATATCCCCAAGTAACACTCATAAGCAACCTTTATTTTGGGACTTGTTTCAAACCCAGTTTCAACCTCAACACTATTGATGTTTTACACTGGATAACTGCTGTAGATGATCATTCTGCTAACTCTATTAATCTGTTACTCTGCTTCCCTGGCCTCCACCCATGAGAAGTCTAGTTGTGACAATCAAAACCATCACCAGGCATTGCAAAATGTCCCCTAAGTGCAAAAAGGGCCTAGGGTTGAGACCTAAGACTTTAGAAGAACAATTTCTTTTATATGATGGCCCAGTTCCAAAATACCATTTTTTTTATTAGTCTTCACTCAGCGCTGACTAGAATTTACTAGGAAAATCACATGGCTAGGAAATACCTTAAAGATCAAGAGGGTCAGGAGATCATGGGAGCCACATAAAAGCATCCCAATCCTCAAAAGAACAGCTCTCTTCTATTCTGCAAAAGATAGCCTGAGATGTTAAGGGCTAATGCGTGAAAGATATTTGTTTAGTCAGTGTGGGATACTGAGGCAGAAATCTCTCAACCCTCTCTTGAAAGGATGAGGGAAAAGAGACCCCTGGAAGTAAGAAAATAAGAATTTTTTCTATTCTTTTTCATGTACAGGATGCCCCTCTCTTTTTCAGAATTAAATAAAGCCTAAGAATGAGAGTTTCATTATACTGTGCATTTAACAGGCTTTGGTGGTTAGCTTGGCCTCTCCAGACATCATTTATACCACTGTTGCTAAGGACAAGCACATTTTTTAATTTTAAACAAATGCCTTACAAATGAACTTCTGGAACGCATCCTGATTGTAAACTATGGACTGTTTATACTGTGCATGCAATGCATTAACTGTTGTCTACCCTGGGAAAAGAAGCTATTCTATACAAACACCATTCATCTGACGGAGGCATAGTTGTCCAAAGACAACATGGTAGGAACATTCAAACAACATACCATAACTAAATATCAGGCTTTTGTTTCATTTCCAGGGTTCTGGTCATACCTAGACGTGAGTGATTGATGTCTAGAGAAGCAAAATTCATCTATTCCCCTGTGATGTGTGCCCTAAATAGCAGCATAAGAGTACTTTTCACTTGGTCTCAATATCCAAATCACAAATCATTCCCAGACACTACCATACTGAAAGCAAGATGTCTCTCACTGCTAGCATTAAAACAAATTTCTCTCTCCAAATACAAATTCTCCTCGACAGAATACATTATTTATGGTAGAAGACCACTGGAAGGAGAGAGACGATGCTTATTCCTGGCTCCCAGACAGCTATGGATCTGTCTGGCTGTCAGAGAACAACTTCCCTATAGACAAGTATCAAGGGCCACCATCACTCACGCTCATTCTGACAGATCTTTGCCCATAAATAAAAAGATGAGTGCTAATTAAAAACCAAGAGCCCCAGATGACAGTTCGCTCAATGATCCTATGTTGAAAGTGACTCTACGATCTGCCTCTGAACTACCTACACGATCATGTCTTTGTAGCACAAGATTACTAGAGGAAATAGGAAGAACAATCTAACAGGGCCCTGTGATGTTTGATCACACTGCTCAAATGCCTGTGCCATTTTTTTGCAACACCTGGAAACACTTAGGTAAATAATGAAGAAATAAGACAACTACATGATATTCAACTAGATATGCCTTAAAGTCATTCCTTAAAGGTCAATTTCAAAATGCAGAATATATCTCTACAATAAAGTAATAAGTTTAATTGGTTATTATTTATAATTTTACACATACGTAAATGACTTTTTTTTTTTTTTTTTTAAGGAAATCCTTGTCTTTGGGTGAATTTTTACCACTAAAGCAAAAGCGTAGCCACCTCGGTACACTCCCAGAGAGAAAGCAGACTGGCAATTACTTGTTTACAGTACTGTTACTATTAGAGTTCTGAGACCACCCCTGTGCCCCCATCTTTAAAGCACAATACAGAATCCAAGGCCACTTCTGAGTGTTACCATCTGGAGCATTTTCACGGCCAGGTATGCTGATCCTTGTCTCATGACCTCTCATCACCTCCCCACATACATGCACTGTAGCAAGTCAAATATCTTAAGTCATACTTTTCTTTATCTGAGGTTTAAAATATGAACAACACTTATTAAATGTGATATGCACGTATTAGGATGGATCATCCTCTAAAACGTAAATATTATCTTTTCCATTTTCTTTTCTCCTTTCTTTGGGGGTGGGGTGGGGCGGTGGTCTCACTATGTAGACCAGGGTGGCCTTGAACTCACAGAGATGTGCTTGCCTCTGCTTCCCAAATGTTGACATTGAAAGTCTGCACCAATACACCTGGCATTATCGTCCCATTTTCAGAAGGTATCAATTTTGATTGGGATTAGTGTGTCTAATATAATGAAATCCCATCCATAAAATTAAAAACAAAAGCAAGCAAACAAACAAAAATAAAACAAGTATCCTAGCAACCGTGGATGCTAGAGAAGGGAAGAACTCATACATTTCAGCCCTCAAAGGACACCCTGTGTTTTATGTTTTCATAGTTCTGATTCCCACTCATCTAAATATCCTTTCTGACTAAAGAAGTTTGATAAGAAAAACTGCACCAAGAGATTGGAGAAAGTTTAGGGTTGTTAAGTGTGACAAGACATACAAATCATCCTTTAGTCTCTGCTTCTGCCTCTTGCAAAACCTCTGTGTTTCAACTAAGTACATTACTGTCTAGAATTTGCATGATAAAGGCAGATGTGGCCACAGTCCAAGTGGTACCCAGTGAGGTCCGAGGGGATCTAGTGCATGGTGTATGAGATGCACCTCCCATTCCCATGCTGTTACTGGGATGCAATCCCCCAGGGATGCAGTGATGCC